GCTGCTCCAGTCCCTCCATCACCTTCGTGGCCCTGCGCTGGCCCCTCTCTAGCAGCTCCACGTCCCTCTTGTCCTGGGGAGCCCAGAGCTGCCCCCAGGGCTCCAGGTGCCTCCCCAGGGCTGAGCAGAGGGGCAGGATCCCCTCCCTGGCCCTGCTGCCAACGCTCCTCCTGCTGCAGCCAGGAGCCCATTGGCCTTCTTGGCCACCAGGGCACGTTGCTGCCTCACGGGCAACTTGGTGTCACCCAGGACCCCCAAATTCCTCTCATGGAGCCGCTTTCCAGCAGGTCAACCCCTAATCTGTGCTGGGCCTGGGGCTATTCCTGCCCAGGGGCAGGACCCTGCACTTGTCCTTTTTGAACCCATGAGGTTTCTCTGTGCCCAGGGCTCCAGCCTGTGTTCACTGTGCTTCTCCCCCTTCACCTGAGCTTCATCAATATTGTACCACGTCAACCCTATGAGACCCTCAGTCCTGATCCCGAATGCCACAAGACCTGAACCCCGCACTGCTCCTTGCCTACAGTTTTCCATAGGAACTCCCCTGCAGGTTTGGCTTGGGAACGTGACAGGCTGTGTCTGCCCCGGCCGGGAGCCCCTGCCCTCACGTACACGGCTCCTCTCTCCTCACAGCCTCCCCACGTACCCGGCCCGACGCGGGGCCCACGAGCACTGCAGGGTCCCTGGAGCTCTGGATAGCCCGGAGCTTCCTACCGGAGCAGGGCAAGGAAAGGGGCGCGGAAGGACCGGGACGCTGCACGCCAAGCAGCAGAAACTGCAAATCCTACCGAAATTATCATCACGGAGAGGACTCTTGTAAGAAATATATTTGATGGAACACCTCCATTTCCCTCATTTTCCACCCAAAAAAGAGATTTCATACAAGCCTGGTCAACTCCCTCCATCACAAAAACTACCCTGAGAATATCAAACAGTGGGAAGTCAGAGTGAACGAATGGCAAGGACAGGAACTCAGCTTTAATGCCTTTTTTTGTTTTTGATTTTAAAGAATAATGTTTTATTCTTCAAGCCCAAGAGCCATATGATCTTTGGATGCACAGCTTCGTTTTCCCAACAAAAGCATGTCAGGAAAACAGGGACAGCAGATACTGAGGAGAGATCCCGGAATTACAAGGCAAATTAAACAACTGATGAGATTTAAGAAAGAATTAAGTAAAGGCAGGATAACAGGGACATAACGCTGTAAGAAAGCAGCAGTATCTACTGACACTGCTCAAAGGAATTTCCTTCAACTTGCAGCAATGTCAAATAGGAAATTTTACAAAGAGGGCTTTTTTACAACTTCAAACACTAGGAAGAAAAACAGACACTATAACATGAGAGAAAACGGAACACTAAATGCTCAGAGTTTGCTTTTTTAAGTCCGACAGATCTGTTCTGATTTTATAGTCCTCCTGATGTCTTTCCACAGCCCTACTGTTCCCTTTTGAATCAATATTTTAGAGCTAAGCATCATTCTCTGGACGGTATTTAGCTGCTGTCTGACAATCTCAACAGTTTATTGGCTCCTATAACATCTAATTGCAGTGATTCATTAGATGCAAGAGACAACCCTCTTCCTGAGTGGACGAAGTCGGCATCTTTTTCCCTAGTATTTAATCCTGCGTGTTTTACAGAGGTACTTTTAACATACACTTAACAAGCCTTAAATAACCTCGGTAACATACGGCTGCCCTCCACATTTAACACTCTAATCTTTACTCACCTGCAGGTTTTATTTCTAATCAGAAGGAGTTTGAAAACTCAAACAAAAGTACTCCTTGCCATTGAGACATACAGAACACAGTAATTGCTACTGAAGGACAAAAGACAGCATTTATGGATAGTATTGTCCAGGGAAAAAAAGAAAAACTGGAACTAAGACTGAGGACCAGACAATAGAAAGGCAATAAAAGAGGCAATAAAAATAAAAGATAAAAATATGAAGTCAGTCTCAAAAAGTTTGGAATTAATCAAACAAGAAGATGCAGAGCCCATGAAGCAGAACCAACACCCCCAGAAAGAACAACGGATAATTTCAGATTATAGTTAGAAAACCCAAAGCTGGAGCTTCACATTTCAGCAAAACAAGAGCCCAAACAGAGGCTGTTCCAGGGCAGCCCCAGGGTTTTGGTTGTGTTCCAGAACCGGCAGCGCAGGGAGCATCCCGGCCGCTCCGGGACACGGAGCAACAGCCCCAGGACCCAACAGCAGCACCCGTGTGAGCGAGTCGAGCGCCCAGTAGGGCTGGGGAGCAGAGCCCTCCCCTTGCTTGCCAATACTCACATCTCAGTTTGTCCAGGATTTTCCCTCCGCACATGGTGGCTAACATGGCTTTCACGGAAAACACCGTCAGCTTCCCATGGCCCTCGCTGCGGAAACGTTACAGGAAAAATGAGCTGTTAGCTGCCAGGAACAGAAATAGTGCAGAACAGGGAGAAGATGCATAAGTGCCTGTCATTACTACTACGATCCAGCAAGAGCATTTAAATTGTGCCTCATCACGAACCAAGGTCTCTTGCAAACCCGCGGAAGCTGCAGGAGACTCATGTTTGTCGTCTTCGTCCCAGAGCTCTCCTGTAACAGGAGCAACCTTACATGTTTATCTTTTCCATTAAAATATATATGTCACTATCTATTCACTACATGTCTCTTCCTCTGCTACCTCCATGAGCTCAAATTCTCACTCCTTGATTTAAAGTCTGACATTCAAACCCCGTCTTACTCTAAACACAGCCCTGCAATCGCCAGCTCGCTGGGAAGCCCTGTGACATTCCGCGTGCGCGGGGACGGGAATAGCCTGGGCTCTGCTTTGTTCCAATTGCAGCTAATCAGGCTGCTGTGCTAGTAGAACAGATGGCACAATTAGGGAATCATTTCCTAGCATCAGCAAAAGAAGATGAATTTGTCTTTGTGGAAAGGATGAAAAAGCCCTTCGAGGACCCCATGTTGTGTGGAAAAACCTATGGGCGTTATTCCTGTTGCCAAAGAAAAGTAAGTGTGGAAGTGTCAGGGAAGCAAGTGGCCAGGAACACAGGAAAGGCCATGCATCAACCTCACCATTCCCTGAGCTCCCCTCCCGCTCCAGGGATCGGGGACAGGAGTTGGGGAACTTCTGGAATAAGATATCAAACAGCTGCAGGCCGGGGATTTTTAGCCCTAAGCCCACTGTTACTGGGGAGCTGGGAGCAGGGTATTGAGCAGCACCCAAGGGCAATGGGAACATGCAGAGATGCAGCCAAGGGCTGCGCGGCTGCTGAGCGATTTATTCCCAAACAGAAATACTAAGTCAGCAACAGGGCCACAGACTGATAGAACAGCAAGAAAGGTAGGATCACCCGCAGAAGAAAGAGGGTAACTGTGAGTAACCATTATTAAATGTATTTGCTCTCCTGTACTCTTATGGGAAACAGAGAGGAGAAAATATCCTGCAAATGCTGAAGGAGGAGGGCTAGAAAAGCCCAGGAAGGGCATTCCCTGGAGAGCAGCTTCGTGCAAACAGGAGCTCAGCACCGTGCAGATCAAACCCTTCCCGTGAACACTGCCTCGTGGTACTGCGGCGGTGACAACCGCAGGTGACTGCTAATGTGTCCTGAGAGGGGACAGCCCTATCCCTGCAGGGCACATCACAGCGCTCAGTTACAGGTCCTTTATCACAAGGACAGATTACAGCCAGATTACAGGCCCCCAGCTACCTGGACCTGTGGGCCTGCTTCTGTGGAGATCC